TGGCTGACTGGAGTCCTGTTTGGGTTTCTTCTCTGCTTTCAGGAAGGCCCAGTTAGGATATCCACATTGCTCTAGAGCCTGTCTTGTGTGGGATTTCTCCTTCTGCCTGGCTCCTGAGCTAGTGGGGATGCTGTCTGCTCTGTGATACAGAGTCCTGATGACTCCTAACTTGTGCTCCAAAGGGTGATGGGAGTCAAACTGCAAATACTGGTCTGTGTGGGTGGGTTTGCGGTACACCTCAGTTTGCAAATGTCCTCTATCAGAGACTGAGACCTCACAGTCCAAGAAAGCCAACCTGCCATTTTTTACATCTTCTCGTGTGAACTTGATGTATTTATCCACAGAGTTGATGTGGTCAGTAAAATGTTGGACTTCCTGAGATTTAATTTTAACCCAGGTGTCGTCAACATACCTGAACCAATGACTTGGTGGTGTCCCTGAAAAGGACGTCAAGGCTCTCTTTTCTACCTCCTCCATGTACAGGTTGGCAACAATAGGAGAAACTGGAGACCCCATAGCACACCCATGTTTCTGCCTATAATATTGCTCCCCATATGTGAAGTAGGTTGACTGCAGGCACAGTTTCAAGAGTTGACACAGTTGTTCTGTGGAAAGCGTGGTCCTGCTGCTCAGAGTGGTGTCTGATTTTAATCTTAAACTGACCACCTCTACTGCATCATCAACAGGAATGCACGTAAAGAGTGATGTGACATCAAAAGAGACCATTGTTTCATCAGTCTCCATGATGACATCCCTCACCTTGTCCACAAAGTCCATGGTGTTCTGTATGTGGTGTTCTGAGCTGCCAACTAAAGGGATGAGTACAGACGCCAGATATTTGGAAACATTGTAAGTGACAGAGTTAATCATGCTAACAATAGGTCTTAAAGGTACACCTTGTTTGTGGATTTTAGGTAAACCATACAGACTAGGTGTGGCCTCCCCTGGGTACAGTCTGTGGTACAGAATACGGTCAATAGCCTTGTCCTGCACCAAATTTTTCAGGCAATCTATTAACTTCTTCTTGTAACCACTTCCTGGATCTCTTTTCAGAGGTTCATAAGTGTTTAAGTCACTAAGGAGTGTCATAACTTTCTCATGATAGTCTTTCTGGTTCAAAATCACTGTGCACCTTCCTTTGTCTTCTGGGAGAATGATGATGTTTTTGTCCTTGCTAAGAGTGGTGAGTGCATCCCT